GCCTCTGTGGGAACAACACAAAATGGTACACATACATACATGCAGGCAAAACTCTTATACATGTAAAATAAAATATGAAATATATATACTTACATATTTTTATCATATATGCATATAAATAGCCTATTAGATTAGATTTATATGTATTTCAGGGCTGGCAAAAAGGTTCAGTGGGTAAGTGTGCTTTCTGCCATGCCTGAGTTCAGTTCCCAGCAGTCACACAGTGAAGAGGGAGAACTGACTCCCATGACCAGTCCATTAATTTCTACTTGCACACCACGGCACATGCATGGGTCCATTAACCTCTACTTGCACAGCATGGCACATGCATGGGTCTGCTAATCTCTACTTGCACACCACGGCACATGCATGGGTCTGCTAACCTCTATTTGTACACCATGGCATATGCATGGGCACACACATACTAAATAAACACATGTAAAACAAAAATTAAGATAAAAGTATATACTTTTCAAATGTTTGTAAATATGTCTAGAAAGGAGGTTGCTAGGGTATGACTGTTGCCATTTTTATTTGTGATATAGGACAACTCAAATAAATAAAATTGGATCATATATATTTATTATCCCCTATATCCATGAGGGTTTAATTTTCAACATGGTAAAAGGGCATTTATTCATTTTTAAAATATTCTTTTAATTATTTTGTGTGTGTGCGTGTGCGCGTGCACGTGTGTGTGTGTGTGTGTGTGTGTGTTAGTTTGTGTGAATGCACTGCTCCTGGAGGCCAGAGGTGACAGATCCCTATGGAGCTGACTAATGTAGGTGCCAGGACCCAAACTTGGGTCTAACCCCTTCGTTTGGCTTCCAAGCAGATCAGGCATGTACATGGCACACAGACATACATGCAGGCAAATACTGATATATAAAATAAAAATAAATCTTTTTTAAAAGAAAAAGTAAATCTTTCTTTAAAATTGTTGTTTCAGTCATTGACTTGACTTCCAGTTTTAAAACTCATTATGGGGCAGGAGAGATGGCTCAGTTGGTACACATGCTTTGCATATACAAAGAATTGGAATCCCCAAGACCCACATCACCAGCCAGACTTAGTAGTGCACACCCTTAATCCCAGCACTCAGGAGACAGAGGCGGGGTGGGGGGGGCAGGGGATATCTATAAATTCAAGGCCAGCCTAGCCTACACAGCAAGTTCCAGGCCAGCAATGAAAACCTGCCTTAAAATTTAAAAAAAAAAATTCACCAGCCACTCGGGAGGCAGAGGCAGGCTGATCTCTGTGAACTGGAGGTCAGCTGGTCACAGAATGAGTTCCAGGATAGCCAGGGCTACAGAGTGAAACCCTGTCTTGAGGGATAAACAAAAAACAAAAACAAAACAAAAAAAAGCAAGGCATTGCTGCATGGGCCTATAACTGCAGTACTAAGGACTAGAGACAGGTGGAGCTCTAGAGCTCGCTGGCCAGACAGCCAAAACATTGATGAGTCAGAGACCCCATCTCAATTCAGTATCGTGGAGAGCAATAGAGGAAGTCACTCCACCCCTGCTTGGGCCTCCACATAAGCATACATACTCTAGCCGGGCGGTGGTGGCACATGCCTTTAATTCCAGAATTTGGGAGGCAGAGGCAGGTGGATCTTTGTGTGTTTGAGGTCAGCCTGGTCTACAAAGCTAGTTCCAGGCCAGTCAGGGCTACACATGGAAACCCTGTCTCGAAACCGCCCCCCACCAAAAAAAGAAAAAAGAAAACAGCACAGGCTCATGGACACTCACACCAAGATGCACAGAACACACACACCACAAACTATTACATGAATTTGGACTTGGGATTAGGCCAGAATTCCCAATAATTTCTGAAATAGCCGCCCAAACCATACTTTGACCATTTTGCATCGTATATCTCTGTGAAGTATTATTCTCAGCATTGACAATTATAAAATCAAAATATCGACTCTAACACTGAAGATGCCCTGCGTTATCAAATTTCCACTCACGAGTTAATGAGGGACGAGCACTCATGTAGGAAAGTATACCAGCGGGCAGAGGACAGCCTTGGTATCAAGTTCTCAGGCACTGTCTGCCTTAATTGGTTGGTTGGTTTGAGACTTTGAGCCTGGGTCTCCCTGGGACCCGGGGCTTGCCAAGCAGGCTGGACTGGTTGGTCAAGGAACCCCAGGAACCACCTGCTTTCACCTCCCCAGCACTGAAATGATAAGAAAGCACCTCATGCCCAGCTTGTGTGTGTATGGGGGGGGGGGGGGGGGGGGGGTTTTGTTCTGGTTTTCAGATAGAGTCTCTCTAAGTAGTCTGGCCGTCCTGTAACTCTCTGTGTAGTTTAGTCTGGGCTCACAGAGATCCACCTGCCTGGGCCTCCCAAGTGCTGGGATTAAAGGCATGTGCCACCAAGCCTGGCATGCCCAGCTTTTTACATGGGTTCTGGAGGAGCCAATTCAGAGCTTCATGCCTGTAGAACAAGCACTTAACCAACTGACCCATCTCAATCCAAATTTAGCTCTTTCTAAGGAAGGGGAAAAAAAGACCAAATACATCCATTCCCAGTATATGAAACTTTGTTAACTTTAATTAATGGTGAAATCATAGGTATAACATAGGATTATCTTAAAATAAATTTCTTCATGATTTAGTTCTAGTAGAGGTTTGACTTGCATGCCTATTTTATATGCCTATATATCCAGGGGAGGATACAAGGGGCAAGTCTTTAAAAAGCCCTGATAGAGGTCAGAAAATGAGGGAAGACAGAGATGACTCAGCAGACCGACCCTACAAGCCGTCCCTGCCCTCTCCAGATAGGTGACTAAGGAAAAGCTCAGGACAGCAGTTCGCCTGGGAACACCAACAGGCGAATGAGGTTCATCTGTGGGTTCCATGCACAGTTGCTAAGACTCCCTGAGTGAAACTAGCCTGACATCCTGGCCACCTGCCCCATGCTGGGGGAGGAAGCATAAAAGATCACTTGCTGGTCTTGGTGCCCAGCTGAGCAAAGCAACTGCAGGGGCCGCCGGCTGTGCAGAGCCAGGGAGTGTTCTGGACGGTTGAGCCTGCAGTACTCTTGCGCTCCAGAGATGACTGCAGGTGAGCTCAGACAGCCCTGCAGTTTCACTTCCGGTTCTCACCGCTCTCATTAGAGCAGTGGAGGAGCCTGAGAAAGGTCCCTGCCTGAAACTGGATGAGCTGGGGCCAGCAGGGAGTGCCACCTGTGTTTCATTCAGGCTGCAGCCCCGATCGAAGGTTTTATCTGCTGAGACCATAACACTCGACACTTGGCCTTGGAGGAAGCAGGAGCACAATACGCCTTTGTTGAAACCAAGTGAATGAACAAATTTAGTAAACGTTTTGGTCACATTTAGAGTCTAAACCTCAATTCATACTTTTAAAATACATCCTCTTTTCCTCTAAAATAGGAGCTCAAAGGGAGAAAAACACAGCACATGTTTAGTATTACATCAGGACTAGATGGGAGCTTGTAGCGGGAGTGATCACAGCCAGGCAGCAGGTCTTCTGGTGTTTTATTTTAGACAGTGACTTGCTGATCAGTCTAGGCCAGCCTCAAATTCACAATCCTGCTTCAGCCTCTCAAATGCAAGGATTATAGGTTTATGTCCACATATCAACAACCTGTTTGGTTGTTTATTTATCTTTGGTTTTTCAAAACAGGGTTTCTCTATGTAGCTCTGGTTTTCCTGGAACTCGCTTTGTAGACCAGGCTGGCCTCAAACTCACAGGGATCTGCCTGCCTCTGCCTCCCAAATGCTGGGATTAAAGGCATGCGTCACCACTGACTGGCTTAACCTGTTTTGTTTTTTGTTTTTTTTTCCCATGAACTATGTTTATTTTTTTTCAAAGTTTATTAAATTATAAAAGTTTCCATTTCCGCCCCCCTCACAACACCCTCCCACTCCCCCAACTCCCTCTCCTCCTCCCTCTCCATCCCTAAGAGCATTCAGGGTTTCCTGCCCTGTGGGTAGTTCAAGTTCCTCCCCCCTCCCTCCAGGTCCAGGAAGGTGAGTATCCCAATTGGACTGGGACTGAATGAGCACGTGATCCAACCAGATTCTCTGAATGTGGCCGGATTCTCTGAATGTGGCTGGCCCGGAGTTTTTCTGAAAAGCCATTGACAATGACACTGGGACTTGTTTCCTCTGCATATACTGGATTTTTTGGGATCCAGTCTGTTTGGATACTCACCTTCCTTAACCTGTTTTTTAAACTATCAGTTTGTTTAGTTATGTCCACATTGTTCCAGAAAGATTCAAGGTAGCTCTTAGCAACACTAACTACAGAAAAGTAAGAATGGCAAAAACAGAACTTGTAGCTGACGGGATGCTCGTGGCTGCATCCCTCCAGAATTCACATACTGAAGACCAAGCCTAAAGAAAGGAGACAGACATAAAGACATGGGGCTTTGGGGAAGTGTCTTCATCCTAAAGATGGTTGCCCTCACAATAGAATTCCAGCCCTTTAAAGGGAGACAGCTCAGTCTATAAAACGCCTGGCACACATAAAAAAGCAGGTATAGCATCAGGTACTGTAGTCCCAGCACTTGGGAGGCAGAGACAGGAGAATGTCTGGACCTTGATAGACAGACAGTTGAGCTAACTGGACTCAATAAGAGACCCTGTCTCAAAAGTAAGTTGGAAAAGCAGGCAAGATGGCTCACCAGGTAGAGGGGCTTGCTGTGCAAGCCTGACGATCTGAGTTCAATCCCCAGAACTCACCTAAAAAAGCTGAATGCTGTGTGCACATCTGTAATCCAGGCACTACTATAGCAAGCTGGGAAACAGAGATGATTAGTGTACAGTGTGGCAGGAACAACGTAAGAGACCCAGCCTCAACAAGACGAAGAGAAACAATTCCCAAAGTCTCTGACCTCCACACATTCGCAATAGCAATGCACCTGTACACACGCGTGCAAGTGAGCACATGCCCATACACACACACACACACACACACACACACGATAATTTTAAAATAGTAATAATAATGTGAAGAGTGGTTGAAGAAAACACGTGACACTGACCTCTGGCCTCTATAGGTGTGCACAGAGATGTGACAAGGTAGGTGTGGTGCATACTGCAATCCTGGAACACCTTCCTCCCTCTCTTCCCTTATTCCCTCCTCTCCACCATGGGAAGCTATAAGATGGTCTGAACTCAAGAGGAAGGCCCTCAGCACATACTGAATCTGCCAGCCCCTTGACCTTGAACTTCTCGGCCTCTGACACACAAATTTCAATTGTTCAAGCCCCAGTCAATGGTATTCTGGTACAGCAGCCACACTAACTGAGACAGAAATTAGACACAGTACTGTTTTTGTTGTTGTTGTTGTTGTTGTCAGATTGACACAAGCTAGAGTCATCTGGGTGGAGGGATCCTCAACTGAGAAGAGGCCTCCATTAGATTGGCCTGTGGGCAAGACTGTGGTACATTTTCTTGATTAATGAATGATATGGAAGGGTCCAGCCCACTGTGGGTGATGCCATCCTTAGGCAAATGGTCCTGGAATGCACAAGAAAGTAAGCAGAACAATCAATAGAGAGTAAGCCAGTAAGCAGCATTCCTCCGCGGTCTCTGCTTGGGTGTTAATATTACTTTGGGGAGGACTGTGAAAGTATTCAGAACTTTGGGTTGGAAAAATCATTCCACGCTCAGAGCTCAATGAACTGCCGTGGGAAAACGGAAGGCATTGCGGAGAGCAGTGCAGACGACGGAGACCTAGATGGTGAAATTTCACAGGAAAGCCCGAGTTCCTCAAAGACTCTATTCTATCAGAACCATTTGTGTGCTGTTTTATATTAAGAATCTGTGATTCCAGTGCAGCACACCATTGATCCCAGCACTTTGGAGGCAGAGGCAGGTGGATCTCTGTGAGTCTGAGAACAGCCTGGTCTACGAAGCAAGTTCCAGGACAGCCAGGGCAACATAGTGAAAACCTGTGTCTAAAAAGGCCACAAATCAAATTGGCAGTTTCTGGTCAGCTGGTGGGGAAGAAACTGCTGTGATTACCAAAAGTGGAGCCTTCACTTACCAGGATGATCAATGCTGGCTAACAAGGGCTAACATAGCCCCCAGGATCCCAGTGTTATCAGCTCCCAGGATACTGAGCCCCAGGTCCTCTGCTGTGCCAAGATGAATGCTATGGAATCAGGAAAATGACCTTGTTTCTCCTTCTGAAGAAATTTTTGACAAGTCTGTTGTGGTTTGAATCTGCAATGTCTCCCTCTAGTTCACGTTCTGAATGCTTATCCCTTGGCTGGTGGCACTTGTGTTGGGAGGCTGCAAAGTTTTTAAGAGATGGGTTGGTGGGAGTCACAGCCCTTGGCTCTGCCCATTCTCTGCTTCATGGTCCACCATGGTGGGACAGCTCCACTCTACTGCAGGCCACCAGGACAGAGCCACTCTGCTGTGCCTTCCCATTATGATGGTCTGAAGCCCCTGACTGTAAGGAAACAAACAGGAACAACTTTCTTCCCTCAGGTTGCTGTGTGAGGTAGTCTATCATAATGCCAAATAATGAACATGATTTCCCTGCTCTGGCCATCTCTATGGGTCTCTGCAGCATCTAAACAGAGAATTGTGATCACCTGTCTGTGGTCTCAGTGTTCACCTCCAGCCAGTACCAGCCAAGAGTCAAGGGAAGAGGGAAATACCAAACTCCATCGGTGGGGTAAATCCAGGGCAACAACTGGGAAGACCATTTCTAGGTCTGGAGATATAGCTTAGTTGCTAGAGTAATTACACAGGGTTGTGGTTTGAATAAGAAATGTCTTAGGTCTGTATGATAAGAATGTCAAGAAAGAAACTTTAAAGAAAGAACTTGGAGAAGGTATCAGAAGATGGAAAGATCTCCCATGATCATGGATTGGTAGAATTAACAGAGTAAAAAATGGCCATCTTACCAAACACAATCTGCAGATTCAATGAAATCTTCATCAAAATTCTAACACAATTCTTTACAGACCTTGAAAGAACAAAACTTAAGTTCATATGGAAATGCAGAAAACTTAAGATAGCTAAAACAATCCCATACAATAAAAGAACTTCCAGAAATATCACCATCCTGATTTCAAAATCTACTACAGATTCAGAACAATAAAAACAGCATGATACAGGCATAAAAAGGCACAACTGGGTCAATAAAATCAAACTGAAGACCCAGACATAAGTCCACACACTTATGGACACCTGATTTTTGACAGAGAAGCCAAAAATACACAATGGAAAAGAGAAAGTGTCTTCAACAAATGGTGCTGGTATACTGGATGTCAGCATATAGAATGCAAATAGATTCATTATCTATCACTCTGCACAAAATTCAAATCCAGATGGATCAAAGACCTTAACATAAATCCAGACACACTACACCCGATAAAGGAGAAAGTGGGAAAGAGTCTTGGATGCATTGGCACAGAAGACAACTTCCTGAAATATAACACCAGTAGCACAGGCACTAAAACAATTAATAAATGAGATCTCACGAAACTGAAAAGCTTCTGTAAGGTAAAGAACACCATCAATAGGACAAAACAGAAGTCTACAGAATGGGAAAAGATTTTCATCATTTCCGATAGAGGGCTGATTGCTAAAATATATAAAGAATTCAAGAAAGTAGAAATCAAAAAAACAAATAATCCAGTTTAAAAATGGAGAAACAAAATTTTCAACATAGGAATTTCAAATGGCTGAGAAACATTTAAAGAAATGTTCAACATCCTTAGCCATCAGGGAAATTCAAATCAAAACGACTTTGAGATTCCATCTTACACCTGTCAAAATGGCTAAGATCAAAAACACAAGTGACAGCTCATTTTGGGAAGGCTGTGAAGCAAGGGGAATATTCTTCTACTGCTGGTGGAAGTACAAACTTATACAACCATTGCTGGTGGAAGTACAAACTTATACAATCACTTTGGAAGTCAATATGGCAGTTTCTCAGAAAACTGGGACTGAATCTACCTCAAAACCCAGATATATCACTCTTGGGAATATATCCAAAGGATGTTTTATCATACCACAAGGACATTTGCCCAGCTATGTTCATAGCAGCTTTAATCATAATAATTAGAAACTGGAAACAACCTAGATGCCCCTCAATTAAAGAAAACATGGTAAATTTACACATGGAGTATTATTCAGCTGTTAAAAACAATGACATCATAAAATTTACAGGCAAATGGATGAGACTAGAAAAAAAAAACCACCCTGAGTGAGGCAACCCAGACCCAGAAAGACAAACATGGTATGTACTCACTTATAAGTGGGTATTAGTTGTAAAGGATAACCATGCTACAACCCACAAACCCAGAGAAGCTAGGTAACAAGGAGGGCTCAATGGAAGGATGCATGGAATTCCCTGGGAAGGGGAAATAGAAGAAATTTCATGGGTGGACTGGAGGGGGTGGGGATGGGAACAGGAGGGAGCAGGTGTGGGAGGACAGAGGGGGAGTACAGGAAGAGATGACTGGAAAAGAGGGACATTTCGGGAAGAGGTAGAAACCTAAAGCAATGGAAACGCCCAGGAATCTACAATGGTGATCCTAGCTAAGACTCCTAGCAATAAATGATACGCAGCCTGAACTGGTCATCTCCTGTGACCAGGTAAGACTTCCAGTGGAAGATCTAGAACACCAACCCAGCCACATAACCTTTGACCTACAATTTGTCCTACCTACAAGATGTGCTGGGGTAAAGGTGGCATAGAAATTGTGGGAGTGGCCAACCATGGGTCTAATCTGAGACCCGTGCCATAAAAGGACACCATGCCTGACACTGCCTGGAGGGCCAGGAACCAGAGGCTGGATAGTCCAGAGACCTAGGATAGAACCAAAGATAACTTGAAAAAGAAAAGTCAATGTAATGATGCCTAATGAATGATAGTCTGCTATACTCACAGATTAGTGCCTAGCCTAGTTGTCATCAGAGAGGCTTCATCCAGCAACTGCTGGAAACAGATGCTGAGACCCACAGCCAAACATTAGAAGGAGCTAGGGGAATCCTGTGGAATAGGGGGAGGAAGGATTGTAGGAGCCAGAGGGGTCAAGGACAGCACAAGAAAACTCACAGAATCAATTAACCTGGGCTCATAGGGGCTCACAAAGACTGACAGACAACCAAAGAACCTGTATGGAACTAACCTAGGATCTCTGCATATATGTTATGGTTATGTAGCTTGGTCTTCTTGTGGGACTACTAACAGTGGGAGCAGGGACTGTCTCTGACTCTTCTGCCGGCCTTTGGGACACTATTCCTCACACTGAGCTGCCTTGTCCAGCCTTAATACAAAGGGAGGTGATAGTCTCGCTGCAACTTGACATGCCATGTTAGGTTGCTATCCATGGGAGGCTTGTCCTTATCTGAATAGAAACAGAGGAGAGGATGTGAGGGTAGACAGAGGGGAAATGGGGGGCGGGACTGGGAGGAGAGGAGGGAAAGGAAACTGGTCAGGATGCAAAATAAATAAATAATAAAAAGAAAAGAAATGTCTTAGGCTGGCAAGAAAGCTCAGCAAACACTTGCCTAGAAGCCTGAAAACCCGAGTTCCATCTGCAGGACCCATATGGTGGAAGGAGGGAAGTGATTACTACAGGCCGCCCTCTAACCTAAACATACTAAACATACTCACCCTAATAAATAAAGAAATGTAGTCCCTCATAGGCTCATGTGTGTGAACACTCAGTCCCCAGCTGGTGATATTTAAAAGGCTGTGGGAAGACCTTCAGGAGGTGGAGACTTGCTGAAAAAAATAAAAAAATGCCAGTGAGTGGACTATTCCCACTTCCTGCTCAGGCTTACCCCCTCCCCCATCCCTCTCTGCTTTCCTGGCTGCTTAAGCAATGTGATCAGCTGGCCCCTCAAGCCCTCAGGCCTGAGTCCAGGTCTTCCTCACTTCTTATCTGTAATAAACCCTGTCTCCTAGACCTTGCTTCTCATCAGGTATTTTACCCCAAGAAGAAAAGTACCTAATATACCTGGCATGCTTGGAGCCCTGGGTACTAGACTGTGCACTTCAGAAACCAGGCAGGAAGGCACATTTCTGGTATTCTATCACTTGAAAAGAAGAGGCAGGAGTGTCAGGAGCTCAAGGTCATTCCCAACTGCATACTAATATCAAGATGAGCCTGGGCTGCATGAGACCTTGTCTAAAAGAGAGGGGTGGGAGTGGAAAGAGAGATTGAGATTATTTCTTCACTTTTTGACATGGCCCAGAGAACCACCAGCTGAGACCATTATTTGGGGCTGCCTTCCAGCTCAGCAGAATGCACAAAATCAATTCAAAGAAAGAACTGATCTGTCCAGTGACCATAACCATGTGTCCCCCAGGGCGTCAACTCCCCTTTGCCCTGACTTCTGGCTATGGGTTTGGACTCCTCCACCTCAGAGACCATGAAGGAAGGAAGGAGGAGCAGGCTTCTCACCAGACTGAGCATTTCAGCAGCTGCCAGTGTGGATGTCACCCCAGCAACCAATTATCCTTCTGTAAAAACACTTCCTTTAGCTAAAATCATAAATCTCCCCTTCTAAATGACAGGTTGGTTGTTGCCTCTGCTTTGAAGAGATATGCGCATAGCAAGTGGTCGGCTTTCACAGGCTAAAGGGGGACTTGGGTCAAATACCAGGATCAGAGCCTAGTCCATTCATCACTGGTATGAAAAGGAGGTCAAGCCAGGGGCAGAGATGGCTGCAGCTCACAGCCATTCTAGGTGATCACAGTATGCCGATGTCTGGAAACTGGAAGGCTCAGCTCCTCTCTGTTCCACACACACTGAACTGACCTCATATTATTCCCTAAGGCAATTCTGATACTCTCACATGCTTCTAAAGTGTTCCTCTCAAGAACTGATCACTAAAAAAAGGGGGGGGGGAGCTAATCATTTTAGAGTAAAAAAAGTGAAAAAAATAAGTGAAGAAACAGAAACAAAAGAAAATGAGCAATAAAAAACTAAGAGCAATCAGGAGTGAGGTCAAACAAACAGAGACAATCACAGAATCCCATGTACTGGAAACCACAGGCCATTAGTATGAATGAGCTTCCTAACAGTCATTGTAAAAAGGAAAATAAAATATACTGTGTGATATCTAAAGCTAGCTAGAGGAAAACCATTCTCTAGGAAAATGCCTATCCTTATTAAGAAGGAGGACAGTGCTTCTTAGGTCTCAGAGCCCACATGGGTAGCCTGAACAAGCATCCTCACCAAGACTGAGCAGTCAGCCTCCCAGACTGTTTCCCTTAATTTTCCTCAATAAAAGCCTGCAATACAGCGCTAAGGTCCAGCTTAGCAAAAACAGTGATCCCTGGGAGCTCTCCAAGGTTAAGCATTGCAGGTACAGATGTGGGTTTCTAAGAAGAATTACATGATAAATGTGGTCCTTAAACTGCACAAAATATTTGAACTGGGTTTTCTAAAAAAAAAAAAAAAATTAGATTTTTTTTTAAACCTGTACAAGTGTTTTGTCAGTGTGTGTTCAAGTACACCATGTGTGTGTTTGGTGCCCCAGGAGGTTACAAGAAGGTGTCTGATCCCTTGAAACTGTTGTTATAAACAGCTGTGAGAGGCCACGTGGGTTTTGGGAACTGAACCCCAGTCTTCTGCGAGAGCAGCCAGTGAGTGTAATGAATATGCTTATTTCTGCATAAAGAATTAAATTTTGGCTGAATATTTGGTTTTAATAATTTAAAATTATATTATTTATTTATATGTATCTTACTTGATATTTATTATTGTTGTATATACATGTGTGTGTTTGAGTTCTATGACATACATGTGGAGGTCTGTAAAAAGGAGACCGCACTTTAGTTTTCCAACTGCCCAGACCTGAATAATCACAGTGAGATTATATTAATTACAACACTATTGGGTCAATGGCTCAGACATATTCCTAGCTAGCTCTTACATCTTAAATCAACCCATTTCTATTAATCAGTGTATCACCACAAGGCTGTTGCCTAC